TAACGGAAGTTTGTTCGAACTGAAGTTTTAAATATGTGGGGGTGGGGGGGGGGGAGACGCACACAATTTTTATTTCGAACAATTGGTAATCACACCGGGACTAATGGAAAAAACAACAAGACAGTATGACCTGTTAAAATGACAAGTTTTGTGTTTTTAGGAGAAATCCAGAAGTCTCTTTTAGTAGTTAGGATATATATCCTAGGAACCCCTGGTCTTCAATAGGGATAGTGTGCAAAAAAATGTTTGATTGGTAGAGTAGGGAGTGTACATAGCTAGAGAGTACTTTTTATAGTGGGGGCGGTGAGTAGAGTGCAAATCGGGTTTTAGCTAGAGAGTACTTTTTATAGTGGGGGCGGTGAGTAGAGTGCAAATCGGGTTTTAGCTAGAGAGTACTTTTTATAGTGGGGGCGGTGAGTAGAGTGCAACTCGGGTAAAAAAAAGTATGGTTGTTCGCGTCATCGGATTCATTGGCGTCGTTGTCAACTTTGGGGTCATTGGCGTCATTAGAACGAGTTTACATTTTAGTACCAAAAAAGTTAAAGAAATTTTTAATTTTTTTTTTTTTTTTTACATTTTTATAAAAGTAAACTGTGTAAAGAAAAGTGTGACATTCGCTCAATCGCTGTACTCCAAGCTCTTCGTGAATCGTATCACGCAGCTCATCCTCCCAAAGTTTACATATCAGCTCCAATAAGAACACCGCCTTGAGTAGATAAGATAAGATAAGAAAAGATAAAAGATAATATTGTTCCATTTATTTGGATAAATAAAAGAATATTATCTTTTCTTATCTTTTTATTTATCCAAATAAATGGAACATTTTTTGTTGTTGTTACAATGTACATTTTCAGCACATGCATAAATCTTCTTACAAAGACAAACATGTTTAAACTAGAAAAATTTAACACACGATATCTAAAAGTATTTCTCAAGCGCAAACATAAATCTTCATATGCCACGGAACATCACTCGATTAAGAGTGATTATTTAGATTTTTTTTTAACAGCCAGGGGAGGCACGCTGGTAAATTCTTGTAGATTAGGGGGAAAATTAATGTTAATATCTTTCGGTCCCTATACCTTGAGGGCAAGCATTCGACCTGATCTGAGATATCTGTGGTGAAGAGGATGGGATGTATCAGCAAAAAAAAATTTAAAAAAGGTAAAAAATTATATAGTTTTACAAAAGCATAGTGCTTCAGATAGTTCTTCAAACGAATGTTTGTTTTGTCTGAGCACTGTGATAGTAGTAGGCCTCTGTTTCCATGAACTCTGTCGTATGCAAACCTTATGATGCTGTTTTTCTCTAAATGAACCCCCGGATTGATCGACTGGTAAAAGCCTGACATTGTCAAAGCTTCCAGGTGGCCAACAATGCACTCTTTGATGGTGGGTGTATCTGGGAATCCTCTGAAATTCAAATAGACACCGTTTATTAAGCGATGTGTATGAATTTTTAAGCGGTTGTGTGTGTGTGCATTTGTTAGCGGGTGTGTGTGTATGTGCAGGTGCAGATACGCACGTGTGGAAATTAAGTGTTTGGATAGTGCTTGACACGATGGGAGAAAAAAATGATATGGGCGCGCGGGGGGGGGGGTGTTCAGCAAACTTGTCATATCAACTTTGAAAACTGAGCATTTGTATTTAAATTTACATCAATGACGTAGACACGTGCACATAGCCGTAAATGAAAAATGGGGAGTAACTCGTACTTTTTGCCAGGGCCGTACCGAGGAAAAGCAGCGCCCTGGCCCAAGCCTGAAATCGCTACACCTCAACATATTCACATATAGAAACAGTTATGCACTTCTATCAAGTCAAGTACATGAGATTTTTATCGTTTAATTTACTGTCAAGATCCTATCTAAAGATATTTTGGCGCCTCCCTGATGTTGACACCCGGGGCGTGTGTACCCTCTCCGCCGCCCCCCCCCCCTTTTTTTTTTTTTAGCACGTCCCTGCTTCTTTTATCTACCCAGTTTGCGCCTTGTTAAACCCACACGTTAAAACAACAACAACAACCTCATAATGTTAAAACAACAACAACAACAACCTCATAATGTTAAAACAACAACAACAACAACCTCATAATGTTAAAACAAATGAACGTTTTCACTGGATACGTTTGCAACTTACCTCCCACCCCCACAGGTTCTCTCGTTGTCCAATGGATTCCATTCATCATCGTCCTGCTCATCGTTACCTTCATCGTTGTTTCGGTCGTAGTCATGTACACCCTTTACAGGTCCAACAGGTAAGTACCGTGATAAAATTAAATCACATGGGGCGTGAGGATAAGCGTTGGGGGGGGGGGGATGATTACAAACGTTTTCAAATGCATGACCTAAAGTGATATGAGAAAACGAACATTCCGCCTTTTCAATGCTGCTCATCTTCTATGGCAGCGGTTCTAAATCTGTGGTTCGCGACCCCTTTGGGGGGTCGAACGACTCTTTCACAGTCGTAGTCATGTACACCCCTTACAGGGCCAACAGGTAAGTACCGTGATAAAATTAAATCACAGGGGGCGTGAGGATAAGCGGTGGGGGGGGGGGGATGATTACAAACGTTTTCAAATGCATGACCTAAAGTGATATGAGAAAACGAACATTCCGCCTTTTCAATGCTGCTCATCTTCTATGGCAGCGGTTCTCAATCTGTGGGTCGCGACCCCTTTGGGGGGTCGAACGACTCTTTCACAGGGGTCGCCCAATACATCGGAAAACACATATATTCTACAGTTATGAAGTATCTACGAAAATAATTTGATGGTTGGGGGTCGCCTCAACATGAGTAACTGTATTAAAGGGTCGCAGCCTTAGAAAGGTTGAGTACCACTGTTTTATGGTGATTGACATGTGACTTAACCCTGTCGAAGAACAGTCCCGAGGTGAATTGCTCAAGCTCTTCTTATTCCCCCTTGCATGTGGGGTTATAGGTAAAATCATTGTGGAAAGGGGTGAAAAGAAGCAGAATTTGCCAATTTAAAGAGCCACATGTGCCTGCTCAGTATGAACACCTATGTGGGATATCTGTGTCGCGGATTAACCACAGAACGTACGATTAGCACAGCTTGGGTAAACATTGACTTGTTTAACTTTTAAAAGTTAAAATAGTCAAAGCGTATGTTGACCCAATTGTTTAAATTGCAAAATGCGTCGAATTTAAACGCCAAATACCATTATCAAGGCATCTGTTAGTTCAGCCCTTTTTAAACGGATAATTATGGAATATAACAACGAATAATAGTCTGTAATATCTGAATCTGAACATCCTACCCATTTTAGATTCATCATCATGATTCAGGGCGAATCCTTTCCCTCAAAGCAAGGCCCGAAATAAATACAGAAACTCATTTGTCCAGAATCTCCCCGTCTCCGCCCGTTAATTCAGAATCAAATTATGTCCAGACAAGATGACTGGTTTTTGTTTGAAAAATTACTTTAAAATATCGTTTACATTTTTTAGGGTTAACCTTGTTATTTTATTAGAATTTTTTTAATCTGTTGAAAATAAACCAGTAACAGTAAAAGTACAATGTAAACTTTTTTGTATTCTATTTATTTTGAATTTATTAACTATTTTTACTATCATAATCGAATTTTAAATTTCTACTTTCTAGGATGAAATGCGACATCTTCAGCGACTACCAGAAGCACGAGAACTTTCCTCACAATTACTGCCTTCCCCATGGTTCCTTAACATCAAGTGTTACCATAGAGACACAACTCTCGGTCTGTGCCTTAGAGGATGACTCGTTCGCTTCCATGCCCCCTCTTCACCTTGTCTACGAAGACATCGCGCAAAGCCATCGGACACAGACTGCGCCACCTCAATCCGCTGCCGAAATCATTCTTCATCCTGCGGCACTTGAAGATGCTGAAATTCAGTCTCACCAGTTCGTCTCGGATCGTAGCATAGGCGACTACTACTCCTCCAGCCATTCTTTACCCATAATCCCCGACAAGGGGACACCACAGTACCAGCACCAACAGACGAACGGTTCAGTCGGCAGCGATAACGAGGACTCTTACGTTCTGATCCACAAAAGAAAACTCGACACGTCATCGCTCGCAGGCAGCAGCCATTACTTGACAGTTGTCAATGAAAATAAGACTGCGCTCAGCAAGGGCAAGGACACCGTTAGAGGCATGGTAAAAAGATGCCGGCAAGCTGGAGTGCATTTAGTTCACGGTGTCTTTGGGAATAAAGCGAATGAAGGAGTGGGGTCTACCTCTGGTAAACCCGTTACTTCTTTGAATAAAAAACTCAGGAGATCATTCCATAGCTTTCAGCTGCAGAAACAAAGGCCGTTCAGAAAATCAAAGAGCCTCGAGCATGAGATAATATCTAGTGACATTTCAGCCACCGTTGAGCCCGACACAGGATTGGGATTAGAGGTAGGCCACGTACATTCCCTAACTGATAGCAATAGCAAAACTGGTGATCACGAGTTTGAGAAATCTGACCATAAAGTCAGAACTGCCAGGCGTATGTTAAAGATTATTAACCCTTTGCAACGTTCAGAGTCAAAAGGTGCTAAAAGACTTGTAAGAAAGGAAATAAGCACCAGACAGTCTGCAGGAGATGAACCTCACAGTAGTCTCAAATCAAACAGATCACAATTCAAAGGGATAAAAATGACAAACATCTTCAAGAAGTTCAACAAAGGCAAAGCCAGTTGAAACAGAACCATATAAAAAAATTAACTACATGTATTTACTCTTACACTTACTAATCTGGTTACTGCTTTTTTTTTGTGAGCCAGAACTGGGGAAATTTTTATTCATGTATCATCATAAGATTATGAAATTCTGCTAAGATTGCAAGACTTTTAGAGACATTCTTTAAACTTTTGACAAGTCTTCCATTGTTTTATGGAAATAACAATAATTCTGTGCAAAGCCTGAGTTATTATTGAATAAAATTATACATGGACAATCAATCATTTGAATTCCAGTGTCTTTTTAAAAGAATAATGGGGTAAATAACAACACTCTTAAAATATTTTTTTTATTTTTCACTTTTTTTATTTTTATGCTGTTTCTTTTAATTTGCTTTGACATTACAAGATGACACATGTACCACTAGAGTACTTCTTTTACTCAACAAGATGGTGACAAGAAGAGTTCAAATAGTGAGAAAAGAATACCTTTATAATCAAAGGAGGAAAAAAAACACAAATTCCTCACATCCTTCCTCTTCCTTGAAACAAAGCAAAAAGACACCATTTTTTTTAGATATGAAATAAAAGCAAAAGGCATGAATGGTTGAAATAAAATTAAAAAAACAAAAACACCAACACTTAGGAAATTGTTTTTCATATGGCAGTAGATTCACTGAGTATTCTAAAAACACTTATAGCAGTCCCAGTTAGACGCACATTGAATGGCTTCTTCATAGATACAAGTACATGTACGTCACTCACAACAAGGTGTCTTAAAAACGAATGATTAATGAGAGGAACGTTAAAAATTGCATTTCATGGAAACACGGGCTAACATTTTTATCATAGATATAATTAAACTAAACCCTAAGCTTAGAAAATAAGATAAGATTTTAGAAATACAACAGCTATACAATTATTGATTTGACTTGAATGTCAATTGTATAAAATAATTTTAATCATAATAGTATAGAGTTAGTTTTAAATCATTAATCTATTTACGTTTGTTATCATGACAAATTCATTTATAAAATATATGGATATAGCGATCCAGGATTTATAGTTTAGAGTATTATTTTATTTAATGTAAGATTTAAAAAAGCATGGTGGTAAAAAAAAGAGGCCAGTTCTATCCAAGTTCTCAGAAAATTCCTTAACATAAGTGGGGGATTTTTTTCTTAATACAATGCTATTTGTAGATGGAAGAAATATTTTGTAACTCAATTTTAATGAGAAGCTGCTTATCTGTGATAGGAGAAACACAAGAAACAAGGACAATCTTTCAAACATTGAGTACCAACACAAGGAACACACCGAAGACAGCCTCAAGGAAATACTGATATAGTACAAAGGCATAGGATCAAACTGTAAAACTAATTACTAGAACTAAAATATGTAACGTACACACAGCTCATGAAAGGTTTACCATAGCCATTTATTTTATAATCACAGGAAATTTAATTACACATTTTTTTCCTATAAAAAAATTGTTTGCCATGTGACTGGACCACTATGTTACTTAACCACTCGTGCATTTTTTCAGATTTAAAACAAAGGTACATCTACTGAATTATCTTTATCCTAGATTTACAGTCAACTACTGATATATTATATAAACACAGAATTTTTATGTACAAGTGTTGGGATATCTAGACATCAAATTTTATTCCATAGCTTCACATTTTTTTTACCTTTGGCCTCTACTGAGCAGCAAGGTTGTGAAACTCAAGTTTAAAAAACTGGTTTTATATTTATACACTGGCAATTTAAATTTCAAACAACAAATAAGACAATAGGGAAAAAAATAACGGAAATCACAACTGCATCTATTTTAATATACTGGTTTTCTTTCATGCAACAGAAAATCAACTCCAACACAGTATTCTCACTACCACAAGGAAAGGTGGTTTTTCAAAAATATTGAAACTCCTCTGATTAGTTTAAATATAATGGACCAGAAAACAGCCTTTATAAAAAAGAAAAGGCACAGAACTGACTCTAAACTTTAATGCCAGTAAACAATGCCAATCTCAATTTTCATGCCACGATTAAAGCTACTCAGAAATGCCCTACACTGAGAAAACACAGCTACCACAGATAATATATCACTTAAAACCAACCAGAATCCTGATCAAATGACAGATGGTATGATACAAACATTGCACACTACAGAACCAATAGTACTTTATTCATATGTCTATAAAGTTACCAGTCGAGTTCTAAATTTTCTTTCTCCCTGTCATTTTTAAATATTTTTTTAGAATTAAAAAAAAATTCAAATATCTTAAACATTTGGGGTAATGACACTCAGCGAGGTACAACAAAAAAATCCATAATCTTCAGTCGGTCCTAGTTTAGGTGGAAACCTTTTTCCCTTGTGGCAGCTAGCAGGCGCTCTCGCAGTATGTCCTCTGATGAGTACTCTGGAAGCTTCAGGTAATGCACACATGTATTCACAGAAGGAAAACTACCATCACTACCATCAACCTGTGAGGAACATAAAACCAAATTTAGTCCATTTTAAATATAAATACACAACAAAAACATTTTGTTTAAAGAGACACCCAAACTCAAAGCAACTCATAGCAAGAACATAATCAATGTTTTAAAAACTTTTTAAACAAACAATTTAACAATAGAATGAATCAATTTTTTCAATAGAGTCCAAAATCTGATGTTTTTTTTAATTCAAATCAAAATTATTTAATTTATGAAATTAGCTACCTTTCTGACCACCGTTAGTCTAGGATGTAAGTTAGCCAAGCCACCTGGTGGTAATGATGAGCATCCCGTGGTGAACTGAAGGAAAGCTTTACGTTCATCGGGTGACAGGTGTGTCAACACATTGACAAATCTCACAAAGCCGGGGCTTAGATGTATAAGCAAACAAAATTTTATTATTTCTTTGAAAAATAATCATCAATGTTCATTACTTAAAAATTATAAAATTGTGTTTGACAATTTTCACAAATTTTTTAAATGACTATGATAAAAGTTCTTCACTATACCTTTCTCTTGTATAACCTAGCTTGGGCTCAGTATAGTTGAGGATGTCTTCCTGAGTCCAACATGGAGCTTGGTCTCCACAAAGAATACTCCCTAGCTCCATGGGACTAAATGAATGAAGTTTAGCCATTGGGAACACCAAGTTGAATCCAGCTAATAAAAATAAAAAGTGATTGAAATTGCTTTTTGTAAAAATGCACCAGTATTATTAATGTAAATAAATAAAAAATTGGTACATTTTTTAATTTAAGAAGTGATTAAACAATTTAAGATGTTAAACTACCCAAAAAAAAAAAGAAAAAGTTCACTGACCTCTAAAAGCCTCCATCTGTCTCCTGATGCCAGACACAAAGCAGAAGTCCATGACCAAATCTATGTACTCCTCAACATTGTCCATGTTAACTTCTTCAAGTCCTGCTCCTGGTTTCAGATGATGGGCATGGAACTTGTGCACCCGAGATGAAGGATCAAACTCAAATGTCAAGCTGTAAAATTCAAAAGATACATTTCACTTTGGGGGTTGTCCATAAAGGATATTGCACAAAATACCAATTTTTTTTCCACACCCACCCTCCCCCAGTGTGAAATGCCAGGAAGTATAACAACAATTATAAAGAGCAAAGAGTCACTAGATTTAAACTTCTAAATAGGTATCATGTGGGTCCATCCATCGATTATGAATGTACTCCCTCCCCCCTCAGTGTATGTAAATACAACTGTGGATGGTCCCCAACCAATTGTATTTCTTGGTGCAGTCACCGCCGATTATATAATGTGGTTAAAACTAACAACAGAAAATATTTCTTTAAATTTTAAGAACTACCAGAAAATATTTTTTCAACCTGGTCTCTTAAAATTGTAATTCTTACAGGTCTCTGCATAAAATTGTCAGACATTGTAAAATCCTACATTGTACACCAAAATCTTAATAGAAACCAGGTCTTCTCTTCAGTGAAAGATTCAAATTTTGTTTTGCACTAATGTAATCTTGTAGTGGTGGAAGTAATGTAAACACTAGCTAGTGGTGTGTCTTAGTTTTTATCACAATTAAATAATTATTCAAAGATTTTGAAGATCATACAATCAATATTTTGCCCCCACATTTTTTAATCATATTTTAATCATCAAGTAGTCATGTGATTCTATCTACATCTTGATTAACAAATTTAAAATTTTGTTTGCTCCAGAAGTGTAATAGACATCTATTCAGTCTTACATTGAAAAATAATAGAGTTACAAGCAATCTTACAAACAGACCATAATATTTTTAGCTCTCTTCATATATTATGTTATAATAAATGATGCCCAAAAGCTGAAAAACCCAAAACCTGCAATAGCATAAAATTTTATTTAAATAAAATCTTTTAGAATTTCCCTGTTTAAAGATTTCTTTGAAGTTTAAAAAAGGCTACATGTTTCAAATATCAAAAGTCTTACCCAAGATCTTCAAGTCTAATTAAGCTGGAATCTCCAGGGTTTGACAAGGCCAGTTCAGCTAACTGAAGATTCTTTTGATCATCAGACAATGATCTGTCTTTGAGAATCCTTTGTTTTTTTGCAGCAAGATCACGCAGTTGTTGTAGAAATGAAGCTCTGTGAGGATTAACTAGTTCAAAGTCTTCTTCACACAGTATACCAGCGTACCATGCATGCACCAGTTTCAACTGCGAAATGGACAAAATAATTTCACTTTTTTTTTTAAAAAAAGGATATAATTATATTCTGTATATTAAAATACAGATTTTGAGACTTGGAACAATGAATATAATGTTGCTTAAACATTTTTTTCTGAGCCTATATTGTCAAGTACATTGACATTACCTTGATGGCTGCTTTTAGAATAAGGCGGTTATCAACAATACCGATAACAAATTTATAACACACATAGCCTTGTTATTATACATTTCAAACTTAAATCTAAGAGCTTTAAAAACTATGCTTATTGTGTGCAATAACTATTGCACTTGTGAATTTTCAATACTTAAAATTTATGCAATGTTTCCAATAAGCTAATTTTCTCAGTTCTAAGGTTCCAGATAAATGCAACACAATAAGACATACATCTTTCAGATAAACATACCTGCTGACGTCGATCATTGTCAAACTTCATTTCCTTTTCTACCTCTTCTATGCTGGCTATCAGATCCGAACTTTCACTGTGCCAAGACTCTCCAAGGGTGCTGGGAGTACGGGTTGTGTCTCCAAACTGTTGAGATAAACTGTGGCCCACTTCTCCCATGCACATCAGCTTGAGGAACGGACGTGACAGGGGCATATCAATTAGACGGTTATCCTGGAGGCACTTGGCCAGCAAAATCCCTGCAGAAAAAAAATTATTATTTTACATTATTTAATTTAAATAAAAAATTGTTAAACATAATTTCTGTATACATTATAATTTCTGTATACATTATAATTTCTGTATACATTAGCTATTTTAATATTAACTCATAATTTAATTTTCCTTCAACCATTTTTTATGGAATTTCATAGATTGAAAATAATACCTAATAAGTAGAAACTGATCTGCAGCAATTGTTTATAATCAGGCTATTGAAAAAAATTAAATCCGCTCACCCATAAAATGAAATATCTTTTCAACCCTTTCTAATTCTGGACTATCTTGTGGAAAGGGTGCTGGAAAAAGACCTGCAGATCTTTGGACATAGTAGCCTGGAGGCTTAGATCCATGGCCAATGTCAACCTATGAAAAATGAAGCACATTTTTTCTATTCAAAATCATGAGGTCAAAATATAATTGTCATTTGCTTAGATTATATTAAAAAAAATAACGACAAGAAATAATTATTGATCTATCTTGTCACCTCTCTCTCCAAATGATCAACATGATCATCGTCACACAACCAAAGACCATGGGATTTCTTTTGCAGCTCTGCAGCTACCAAGGCATAAAACTCTAGCGTGGGTCCTAAGCCAGTGCCTTCTTCTCCCTTAAACTCAATCTGAAAGATTAATCAAATTTTTCTGAGGTATAGGTAGCTTTGCTCTTAATAATTAAGAATTATATATAATAAAATAAATGCTACTAATAATAAATACAAAAATAACTGATATGTAAACATATGCAAAAGATACACTCTTACCTCAAGCACAGCTTTGCGTGTGCTATGGTACTTCATCACTTGCAAGGCCCAATCCAGTAAATTTTCATTCCTAGGGACCACCACTCTTTCGTGTTTCAGGCGGCCAACTCTATATTCATGACTGTCTTCTCTCCTTGGAAGTGGACCACGGCTTCTCTCCATGTTGGCATCTCTTTTATTTTGCAACCAAACTATAGACCTGTTATTTAATAGTTTTATATGAATTAGTTCCCAAAGCACTCGAGAACATTTAATCAGTTGAAAATAGATGTTAACAACATATAAATATATCATTTTATTACAAATTAAAAGATAACTGTTTCATCAATACAATTTAGAGAAAAAAAAAGGTCTCCAATGATGTATTAGGGAACTGAAATAAAACTGGACCAAAATAAATATAATATTAAAGAAATGTCTGAGAAAGTTGAGAAAAGTCTGCAGTAATTATTTAAGTTTTTAAATTTTTGTATTAAAAGCAAATTATATTCAAATGCAAAATGTGGATAAAAAAATATAAGCTTTTTAAAATGTACCTTGAGGTTCCGAAGGCAGTACATGAGAAATATAATTGTCTGGTTTCAAAAGGGAACAACATAGGACACCATCTTGTCAGATGCTCACACCATTCGGGCAAGGCTCCACTCGCTAGTACCAATGGATCCTGAATAAAAAAAATAATTTTATTCTATTTTAAAGGCCATCATATTAGAAATTAACACTTTTTGAAAGTAAATATAAGAATATAAGATAAATTTTATATCAAAATCTGCTTTTTATACTTACAGTCCCAAAATAAATTAAAATAGGAATCTTTGAAAAAATTTGAGATACTTAATTGAAAACTGTTAACATCTGCATACCTGAATTTGTTGAGTGACTTTATTTGTAATTTTTTTGCTGACAAATTCATCAGCAGGAATGTTAAGGTGAATTTCTTCACAATCTAAAGGAAAATAAACAAAGTAAATTTGAAAAGTTATAAATATTTGTTGTTTTTTTAAATCATTCACTATTTAGATTAGTAAATATATAAATATATATTATAACGATTGTTAAATCTGTAGCAAACTATTGATGAATTTCCTAAAGCTTTGGATCTAGTCATACCAAGGCTGTCGCCATCTTGTTGAAACTGGGTCCCTATCTTCCTGCTTGCGTATAATTATAAAGGGTTTTAAAATACCTTGTTTTTTTATCAATGTAGATTTTTTTTTAGCCTAGCCTGCATTTGTTAAAAAGCTCTGGGCTATGTTTATGTGAGGACAAATTTAAAGAATTTAATAATTAAAAAATTAATATGACAAGTGCATATCGGTGGGCTTTGAATTTCCAATTCTAAAAATATGAAAACAGTTGTAGCCTTTTCTTGATATAAAATAGCTGGTCATTTCTCTGTGACACATTGGTATAAAAAAAAAAATCATAAAATGGTTAAGTTTTTATTGCTTACAAACAAATATTTTTTTATTTTTGATACCCGATTTATGAGCCATTTTTTAACTGAAAAATTGGGTTGTGTCTATAGTAATATTATTATAACCGGAATTATCTTTAAAAAATAATGCATTTCAAATTTACGATTCTAAAAATATGGAAACAGGTGGATATGGCTAAATTAACACTGCAGAGAAAATTCTTACAAATATCAAAGAGAAATGAGAAAACAAATGTAGTTATCGCAAAAAATAAAGAATTGACTAATACTTCATATACTCCTTTTTATTTCTTTCGCTGGATGAAAATGACCAGCATTCAAAATGTGAAGTAAGAATAACTAGCTAAAAGTTTAAAGTATTTTTTTAATTCAATATCTGACCATTTTTAGTGGAGGGATTTGATTGTTCCATGATAGAGTAGAGCCTCTGCAATAACTGTAAAACATGGTCGACAGTGCAGCTAGAGTTCTCAGATCCTCTGGCCAAGTCAAAGTCAGCCAGAGAAGCAACACCTGTTAGTGACTGAAAATAAAATAAAAAGAAGTTAAAATGACCCTCAGATCAATTATGTGTAATTGAAGTGACTACCGTTTCTTTTTTTAGCAACAAAAGAAAGCCAAAACAATACCGTAATTTCTGGTGTATAAGACAACTGGGCGTATATGATGATCCCCTACTTTTCCTGTTCAAATAAAAGGGTTTGCGCTATACTCTCCGTAGTATAAGACTTGTTTGTTTTGTTGTTCGTCCGTCGAGGATCGACGATGACCATCGAGTTGTCCGGTGACTGATGACTTGCGCTAGTGACTTTTGTTTAAAGTGAGGAAGAGATGCCTGGCGTCAACCTCACTCTCTCGTCCGGGCCCACCATATCCAGTGGCAAGACTCTACGCCAAGACGACCAGGGATGGGTACGGTTGCAGGAATTGTCATTGTATGCGCCTTACGGGACTCCAACTCTGGGTTTGCCGACCAAGGTTAACGAGTCTCATCCACCCGGGGTGATGTTTTTGCTAGGCCGGCCTTTGGCTGGAATTGAGGTTTGCTCAGTTTAGACCATTCGGCCATCCAGTCACCCATGCAGTGAATGACCATGGCGTTCTAACTGTCTTTCGGCTACCCTCAACCTGGAATCGTTGTCTGGGTTGTGGTCGTTGTGCCTGTTACAGCTTCTTGGAACCACAGGTATAAGACTACCTCTCTTCCAACACACACCAAATAAAATTTTTAAAAAAAAAACAATTTGATTTTAATATGGTAATTTGAATTCAAATGTTTGTGACATGCAGGTACTTAGCAGGAGAACTGTCACTTATAAACATAAGACCGTTTGTCATCAAACATGTAAACATAAAACAGTGCAAGTGAATTAAACTTTTCCTAATTCACTCTAAAGCTGAAAGAAACGATAAGACAATAAACCCATGGGAGTTGCCATGCTGTTTGTTTTCTAAGCTGTCAACCAAACTGGAACTGATGATGATAGGAGGTGGATAACAAACAATAGAGAGAGAGCAAGTGCGGGGCAAGTCCCTGGCGTATCAGTAACACCCATCATAACTACAAGCTATTTTTACAGGTTTCGCTGGCGTGACTGTTTCCTTTTTAAAGCCTTCAAAATCCTCCTGCTCGTCATCGATATCATAAGTACATTTGTAAGGCAGTAATCGTGTGGATCTAATTCCATATAAGATGCTGTGGTCACAGCTTCGGCTCCCTCTTCATCTTGCTACAAGTCTGCATACCATCTAATGAATTTGATATGTCACACTTCTTGAAAGACATGAATATAGTTACCCAATGTTTGTGCGCATAAGGAGGGGCTGGCCGGGATGCAGCACACGGTGGCTCAGCTAGAGGGTGCCTATCACTGAAGTTTCAGCACGTATAAGACGACACCCGACTTTTGAAAAGATTTTCATTGGTTAAAAAGTCTTCTTACACGACGGAAATACAGTATATATTTTTAGTTACTTGCCTTTGTGGTTGAGCCGCACTCTTTTTCAGATCCCTCTTCCTCTTTAGCTTCTCTGTACTGAACTCTGAATACAAAATAAATTCTATATTATTTTTCTTTTAATTAACAGTTTACCAGCAAGTAAATACTACATGGTCTTTCTCAATCATTATGAGCTAAAATCTTGCTAAAATTAGAGCATTTACATCAAAATACACAATTACATATCTTTCATTGGTTATAAGTTCAAAGTATTGGAAGATTTATCACTTTAAATTTAAAAGAATCAATGTACATGATTACATTTTATGACAAGTGTCCGATATATTTGTTCATCTGACTTTTTTTGGGAATAACCTAGTGTTTTTCAGGGAATAGGTGACAAATCAGAAGTTCTATTGATTGAGGTGTATGTTGTGACTTACGTGTATGTAGGCTCCCATATCCTTTTCATTCTTTCTGCACGCCCCACTGATGAGCCCTTGGACAATAGCTCCTGAACAAACTTGAAGATGCATGCAGAGCTGCTATTCAGAACAACTTCCTCATCACTCATCTGATAATAGAATTATAGTTTTTAAAATGGAACAGAATTGCCAAAGGCAACTAAATAAAATATTCAACATTTTGTTCTTCATAATCTCATGGTAGCAGGACAATATGAAAATGTATTAAACAAGAACTTACCCCTGGAAGGCATGGAGCCTTTAATGTCAAACACAGTTTGGGCTGTGCCACAAAGGTTTGACTATCACTGGTAGTATTTTCTTCTGTTCCTATTAAGAGCAAAATGTAGTTTTTAAATTTAAAATAATAACAAAACTAAAATCAGAAAAATAAAAAAATAAAACCTTTAAATGGTAAATTTCATACATTCATTTGTACATAACTTTTTTCATAGTATTTGAAATAAAGACTAGATGCTGCAAAACCAGCAAAACTTCACAAAAACTAGTCAAACTTCAATATTTATATGCACCCCAGATATGGAAGGGTTTCACTGTACTTCCAAAGAAATAAAATTCATGACAGTTAACTGTCACCCATTATCTTGAATGCTAATTTTAATCCTTAAATTTTATTTTTGATAATTAATTAAAACTGGATTATTAAGTTCTTCATTGTATTATGTAGATGTTTAAAAAAATTTAGTTTTCAATTAAGGTTGCACTGGGTAAGCTATTGCCAATTATTTTAGTACATATTTTTTTTTTACATTAGCATGGATATTCCTTTTAAAATAAGAATGGTGGCGATAAGAGATTAGGTCAAATAAAGGCGGATATTGATCAATTGTTAAGATTGCCAGTTATACAGATTATCTGCCTTTTAATTGGTGCAAGCTTAGTTTCAATCTTGCCTGGAGGAGGAATGTCAAAATCCTGAGTCTGGTTAACATTAGTGCGTCCTGGTCTGGGATCAAAGGCTGGGATAAGAGCAGAGAACTGACGTTTCAGAACAAACTCATCATCCCATGTTCTTCTGTCCCTTGGCTCCATCTCTTCATCTTCCTGTTTGATAAATTGATGTCAAATATATTAACATATCAAAATAGATCCCTCAAGATATGCAATTAAAAAATATAAATAAATCAGTAAACAAATCGGAAAATTTTTTTTTATGAGATTAAAATGTAGGAAAAAAATTTATAGTTGTAAATACTTGTTGAAAAAGAAAATTTAAAAAAATAAAAAAACAAACCATAACATCATCATAGTCTTCATCATCTTCATTTTCATCTTCATTCTCATCATCATCATCATCAGGCTCTGGCAACTCTTCATCATCTTCTAGCTCAGCCAGAAGTGTATGAGCTCTGTAAGTCTCTAAAAATTCGTTGTCACTTTCACTTGACGTTGAGGTAACACTTCTGGTCAATGCCTGGAGGGAAAATTTAATTCGCTAAAAATCAGTGGGGCATGACCCATGTCCTTGGATAAGCCGATGAAGTTTCTTTGCAACTTTGTAAGTTAGAGTATATCAAAATACAAAAGTGCAAAGAAAATGTGTAATAAATTAAATTATTAATAAATGACATTAGCTAATATTAAATTAACATTAAGATCAGATCTATATTACTATAATCTTTAAATAATATTTCAATTTAAAAACTTGAAACATATGTTTTACATTTGCCTGAATATTACAAAAAGAGTGGTTTAAAATCTAATACAATGTGTCACCTGGCTCAAAGACATTACATTAGCCATGGTCTGTGTAGTTGTAAGAGTACTAGAAGTAGGCACATTAGAGGCTGTGAGACTAGGGTAGCTTTGAGCAGCACTAAGAAGATTGTCTGAAATAGATAATAATTTCCATTTACAAGTTGAATTTATAATTCTTTCTCAATTATCATGCTTCTTTCTAATTTATATTTGCCTGACAACTTATCTAACAAAAATATTTAAGGTAATAATAAAAAACTTTCAAATAGATAACTAACTAAACATAGATGAAAATCAAATTTAAATTATCAATAGAATACACACACAAAAATATATTCATTAATCTTACTTGGTGAATTGGCCAAGGCCAACCTGACCAAACTATTAGCGTGAGTGTTGCGTACTATGTTACTTCCATGTGGTGTGCTTATGTTCCTTCTTGCAGCAAACGAATCCAACAGGCTGGCAGTGGGGTCTAGGCTAGTTGGGAGGTTAGGTTCACTTGCACTCATTGAATTAGTAGGTGAACCACGAGTAGTGTCCTCTGACCCACCAACTTTCCTTGCATCACTTTTGGCAGCTTTATCACGTGAATCTCTTGTGTTTTGTAAATTTTGTACATGTTCCTGGTGAGAGAGATACCAAGTTATTATTGGAAATGTTCACATTGAAAAGTTTTAAGTGTGATAAAAATATGTTTTTTTACAATCTGTACTTGAACATTCTTGCACTTCTGTTTGAAATTCTAATTATGGTTTAACAGACCTGCCAACCTGCCGAGAAAAAAAATCTGTAGGGGCGGTGCATGTGGGGGGAAAGGGGGGCACTGCCCCCCAGGGCACGCCGACCGGGGCTGGGGGGTGCATTGGTTTAAGATCTGTCAACTAATGCACAAGCCTTTTATTTAGTAAATAAAGAAATATAAAGTTACCTCCATTGTCTTTGAAGAGTCCACAGAGCATGAGACAAACATTACTGGAAAATTTTATATACAGATATATAGGACAGAAGATCCATTTTATTTACATATGTACACAGGCTGCTTACTAAGAGTTCAGTTTTCCAGCATATCCCTAGTGGCTCTTTTGCAATTGTCCAACAGCTTCATTGTAATTTTTCTTCACAATGATGGACAATGGAAAAAATTATTTCAGCTGTGTGGATGTTTATTAATGTCATTGTACCCCCCACTTTCAATAGATAAGTGGGTCTGGCACAGATTGCAGAATGCAAATGTTTCGCCACGGGGTGAAGGCCGAATAAATGAGTGTTTTTCCTAATACTCCGTTCGAAAACATTAAATATGCCGTTTTTTTTTATTTTTGTTAGGAGCACTAATCACTATCAACCTCGGTCACTGGAAAAGCTTTTTCAGCAGTTCTCTTTACAAATTTATCCATTTAATAAGAAAAGTAAAGCTTAAAGCAAAAAAAAAAAAAAGGTCACAACACCACTGTAAGCCTAGTAAAACTAAGGATGAGTCATGAATGAAGAATGGAATTTGCGGTTCGCTTCGATCAAAACAAAGGAAGTGGCAGTATCGAAATGCACGACTTTCTGTCGGACCCATTTTTCTTTTTTCTTTTTTTTTTTTCGCTTTCGGATTTTTATGACGGGTGAAAAATTATCATGTAATTTTCGGAAAATCAGAATTTTATGGGGTTTGTCGGAATGAGGGGTAAAAAATCTGTATGATTCTGAGAAAATCGGAAGGGTTGGCAGGTCTGGTTTAACTAGTATCCATTAATAGTACTTTGATGATGATATAAGAAGAAATATTTGTCAAAAACAAATGCTTTTATCTTATTTTTATTTTTAAAGTTTGCAACGTGTTTTAAATTTTACTCACTTTAACACCACCCTCTGCACCTCGAAGAGTTTCTGATAAGGATCCAACATCCAAACCCAAAGCAAGATCTGAAGCCAGATCTAAGACTCCATAGTCTCCAAGGCTGTCATCATTACCTCTATGCACAACAACCATTGGCTCTGTAGTAGTCATGTTGCTATTAATGGTGGCAGTCAGACCGCTAGGACCAGCTCTACTCAAGCTAATACCACTAGGGCCAGCACCAACAGCTCCAAGGACACTACCACTCAAGGCCAGGGTCGTGCCACTTTGTGTGCTTGCTTCATCATCAGCATTATCTACAGTAACCATCACAATGGCTTCTGAGCTTGCAAGGTTAACCATGCTTTCAGCAACATTCTCAGCTGCCTGAGTTTTAATAAAATAGATTTTTAGTTTAGTTATTTTTCTATTTTTCTATGTTCCTATTCTTTTTTAAATACCTTACAAAATGAATTAACATATCTAGTGATGTAACACTCTTTCACGAGCATTATTCTAGTCCGAATTATTTTAAACATTTTATTGTGAACTACAACAATCAAACAAAACATAATTGAAATATTTTGGTTTTATATGTTATTCTCAGGTAGAGCCTCAATGCTGGTTAAATATGAAAATTTTAAAGCACTCACTGCTTTAATACTAGAAGTGAGATTTTCTGCTGATGAAGCTTGTTCGGTGCTGGCAACTGATGCTTTTGAATCCATCACGTCACTTAGACTAGGAGTGGAGCTGCTCTTACGGCTTGTCAAGACACCCACCTGAGAAGCAAATATGTTTTTCTTTAAAAAATTGTTTTTGCCTTATTTTTAATCCAGAAGCTTTTTTTTTTTTTTTAAGAAACAAATACTAAAAAAGTTTTTGTTTTTTTTCCACGTCTCATTTCATTTAGTAAAAAAACACACAAAGTATAAGGGTGCAGTTTAAGGGCATACTGATTTAAATATGTTTTTCTTTAAAAAATTGTTTTTGCCTTATTTTTAATCCAGAAGCTTTTTTTTTTTTTAAGAAACAAATACTAAAAAAGTTTTTGTTTTTTTTCCACGTCTCATTTCATTTAGTAAAAAAACACACAAAGTATAAGGGTGCAGTTTAAGGGCATACTGATTTATTCCCAAACAAATATCAAAATGTTCTGCTAAAAGCCTTCTGTTGAGATAATATATATAGAATAATTGAAGTTATTAAATGCATGAAATAAAGTAGATACTAAATATGTCTTCAATAGTGTAATATTGTTATTCAGGTTCGGGTTAAGAGGATAAGCAGCTTGTTCATTAAAGTGAAAACGTAAAACACATTTTTCAACTCACTTTAACTTTCTCAGATGTGCCTGACAAACCCAGCATGCTATTTTTATTTCTGCTTGAAGGTGGTGTGGACAAAACTTCTGGTTTAGCAAATCTTAACTTGTCTGGATCATGAGATGGGCCCAAAGCTAGATCAAATTTTCCTTCAGCTCCCATGCGGTAAGAATTGGAGCCACCAGCATCCCAAGAAACATCCACCCAACCTGAGTCATGCAATATTATGAGATTAACTCACCAATAAACTTCTAACAATTGTAATAATTAGTCCATAAACACATCACTGGTCATTAGAAATGGTGGTCAACACTGTTGCAAGTGGCCACATGTAGCAAATAGGAATTTTACAGGTTTTGCAATAAACATAAAATTTTTACAATTAAGTGTGCAAGAAGCAACGACTTTGACAAATTTATCTGATTTAATTCATAAATTTCTGGAACACTGAAAATATTTCTGATAACATTGATTTTGTCAAACTTTACATTAATTAAAATATGGTTTGAATAAAAACTGATTATTAAGTCAAAATTTGTACATTCTTTTAAAGTAAGCTCCTTGAAAGTTTGTTTCATTTCATCAGTGCTTATTACTTAAACAGTTGTCAGTGCAAGTTTATTCTATGTTTGTATAAATTCCTAATTAATAAAATTGTGTTTTATGAAATATACAGATCTACGAAGACGTCATTTTTTAAACAATTATTTTTAACAGCCGCCCTACGCGTGTCGGAAAAAGTCATGTGTTTGCTGTGTTTGGCACATGTGCCAGTGGATGCCCACTTTTGTTCTGTCAAATTTCACTTTTCGTTTTGCTAAGCTTGTGGCTTCATTGAGTAAAAGGTTTGCCCACCCGCGATTTAGACAATATTATATATTATGTTACCATTGTGCAAGTCACCAGTCACTGTTCCTTCACCTGGAGGATTGCCATCTTGGTCTCTCCATTTCCAGTCCATTCCTCTGATAACTCTGGCACCTGGCATCATCTGTTTCAAAACATGAGTTCGCAATACTCGTCTCTGGCGTCGCAGATTAGCCTCAGCTTCTCTTGCAGCTTTACCTGTTGGTGTCATATCAGTAATCACTTTGTCTCAGGTGAAACATAAAATTTTAATATTATAGCAATATGTGGTACCCACATATGAGAGAAAAAGGTGTGTAGTCTAACTCTCTTTAATTAAAGTATTTTGTTCTTTTGATCTAACTTATCCAATTTTATTCATCGAAACACCTAAGGAAATATTCAAATAAATTGTGTATAAAAAAAATACAACGTAACAATCAATAATCAATATTTCTTTCTAAATTTCTTTCAACATCGAAGTAATTACTAATTTTATATCACCTCTTACATCACTTGTTTTATTGGTTTAAACTTACCAATATCATCACATACTCCTGTAACAGTGCCGTATATCTCAAAGCCAGACAAGGAGACATAATGGGTCTGTCCACTAGCATTTTTGCCAGTCTGGTGTAGTCGCACATGTCTCCATCCTTGTTTGTCATCTCCAGGAGCTTCTATTGGCCAAGAAGCTGTTGATCTAAAAAAAAAAAAAAAATTTAATTTAAAGCTACTCAAGTTATTTATTTTTTCTTGCAAATAATCAATAGGACAACAGTGAAGATTTCACCAATATTTATCCAAGCACTGGGTGACCTTAAAATTTATCCTACATATTACTAATAGAATCTAGGCAAAATGAACACTTTGGGACTAACAATGCACTATTTAAATATAGAGATATTTTAAAAATTGAAAATGTTATGTATGATCTATACAATACCTAACTACCCTTTGTTTAATTCATATAATGAGTAACATCCAAAATCTAATGAGCTACTTAAAGAAGAAAATCATTATTTTAAAATATATACTGGTCAAGGATTTAGAGCCAATAACTACAAAGTAGTAATAGTTACAATGTATTGTTAGGATCAAATTTATTATGAATGTATTATGATAGACTTTTATAATGAAGTACTGATCAATATTTCTTACCCTGGTTCATTAAGAGATGAATCACCCTCATGTTTGTATAAAGTTTGCCAAGTTACACCATCTTTAGACATCTGAAATTCCCAGTTACGTAATGCTGACCTAAAAGACAAATAATAATTTAACTATTGGGGTAATGAAACACTCTACTTCCTTTTGTGAAAAATATAAATAAATCAATAACAAAACTTACTTTTGTCTAAAATCTTTTAAGTTGAACATAAAAAATGTTTTTTTGAAAACATAAACTGAGGTACATACTTTCCATATCCTCTAGCATGTCTGAGAGTGTAGCATGTGGGGATCAACCATACTCCTAGGTCTATTGCAAACCATGCTTTCCTTCAAAGAAAAAAAACACATATTAAATGAGCAATTGTATTATAGATTATCTTACAGCACAGTTCTCAAATAGTTGACAGCAAGACAAACTTTGAAACTAAGTAAATAAAGATATAAAAAACATACTTATCATCATTTGTGTGACAGTTGAGAGCAGCACTGTCTCTGCTGAGGATGTCCTCTAATTTTCCATATGGTAAACTTCTGCCTTCAGATGATGTTACTACAACCAGGCCATACTGACCAGGATTTACCCACTCATAGGATGTCCTACAAAAATAAAATACAAATTAATTTTTTAACTATGAATTGGGACCCAAACTGAACTAAAACTTTAATGCATGAACAACTATAGATACAGTTTTGATTACAATGACAGGCGCATTCTCGAAATGCTGTATTAGATTTTTCAAATTAATTGAATTAATTCTATTTTAAGAAATATACCTTACGCCTGTGATTTTCAAAAATTTGAGACAACTTTTAAGTATTTAGATTAACTTACTTCCCATTTGTACCAATCCAATAGAGCAAACCATTTTCATCAAAGTCATTTTGGTGTGTGAAAGTTATTGTAGTTGCAGGTTCTTTGAGTTTTTTTACAAAATTAAATGTCTGACGGTCAAAGTCATACCACTGTTTAGCAACCTAAAATTGATCCAAAATACAATTGAGGAACTTATTATTTTTACAATGCTGATCAGCATTTTATATCTATTCAAAAATATGTTTTTTATTTTTAAAATTTATTTTCGAAAGTTGATGTAGAAAACTATCATTTTGCAATAATGAATTTTCCTGAACAGTATATAATTGTTATCTACAATTAAACTCATGTAAATGTACTCATAATAGTAATAATTGTAGTTTTCTTTAATTACTTAAGAGAAAATCAGCTGTTTAAGATAAGATATCTTGACCTTCATTAACTCATTCCCCACAGTTGCGACCGTAAATGCATCTTTCGGGGGTTTCGATGGATGCGCCCTAATGCGTCCGCGTCCCGACGCATCGCCACACAGCTCTCTGATTTCTATTTAAAAATAGTAATGAAATTTCGCATCCCTCGACACTTCCGGCGATGGCTTGATTTCAATTTAAAAACCCAAAGTTTTTGTCTTGTTTCACTTTCAAACTATGTGTGCTTTAATACGGCACGTCTATATGTAGCATGTGTTCGTCCGAGGTACTGAAAATCGATTTTTTGTTCATTGTTCGTTATTTTTTTCCCCTGCTAATGTTATTTTTTTTTAAAAATCTTATCTATTTTTTGTTGCATTTGTTCTTAATTCATTAACAGTAAATAATATTTAGGAGACTAAATAAATATTTTACAAATTTAAGTCAATTGCAAAACGGAGTTACTTCCCTCTCTCAGGCAAATTAATTAAGTACGAAAGTAGCACTGCCGTCGGGAATGAGTTAATGAATTGAATTATTTTGTATAAGCTCAAGGATTTCAAGACAAGGTAACAGAACTGAATTTAAAAATACTATACCATCTTTAATAAATAACGTTCAAGATCTGCAACTGTGGTGAGAGGCTCCATTTTCAAGCACCTGTCAGTTCTGTCAATCAGGGTATTTTCCCCTGGAGCTTTTTCTAAGCGCAATCGCAATCTCCTTGTCAGAATCTAAAAGAATAATTTTGTTTTTATTACTATGACAGTTAAATTTTAAAAAGCCAAATGTAAAGCTGAACTGAAATCTTAATCGTGTTTTGATATCATATAACAAGAAAAAGGAATATCTTGTTTATTTGGCACCGATATTTTTATTTTTTTAAGGGAATGGAAAAGAGAGAGGAAGAAAAAAAAAAAGGGGGGGGGGGGCACCACGATCCTGCTTCGGCACTCTATATGAATTTATTTTAAAGTTTGATGGTGTTATCTTGTATGAGTAACTAAAAACATATTTGCAGTTAAGTAATTAAGTTATTACCTGTAATCCATAGCCTGATCCAGGCAAGTCATAAGAATACACCGGTAATTTCTCTATAGTTTCCAGAGCTGATATAAGTTTTCTAGTTAACTGTATAGCTGAGGTGACAGCACTAGAGGAATGAATATCATTATAATATATCCATTAATTATTTCTTTTATAATATATCCATTAATTATTTCTTTTAAGTCTAATGATAGTCTAACAACTTACCATCCTGATATTTTCAAGCAAAAGTTAAATTCTTAGTAACATGAAGAAAAAACAACATTTAAATATTGTTTACATACTCAATTTTGTGTAAGAAAATTATCAGAACTTATGTTACTTCACTACCTGAAGGACTTGACAAATAAACCATTCATAAATTTAATACAGTTAGTTTACCCATATTTCTTACCCATCTTCCGTAATACTGAAACGGTAAAAAAAAAAGTACATGCATGAGAATTTGACAGAAACTAAAGGTTGCATATTTGATACATATGCTTCGTATTTCGATATCTCAATTGTTTTAATTATTTTTTTTAAATTTGCACACACAAAATAACATTTTAATTTAACTCTTTCTCTCCGGAATTAATTTCCGCATTCTGGCGGAATTATCTATTTTGCATATTTTTTACTCACTACTAAGTTATTTCTAAACCATCTTAACTTTTTTGTTTTTCATCAGAAAATGTTAAGTTTGGTATAAAATTAAAAATTAAAAGGGGAATGCATGCTCTTTACATACAATACAGACTTGGGTTTAAATTTTAATATATTTCACCAAAACACTGCATAGAAAAACTGCAGAAAGTTCAAAACTCAGCTGCTAGGCTAATTTTAAAGGCAAAAAAACGTGGTCACGTCACTCCACTACTCCATTCCCTTCATTGGCTACCTATACAGGCACGCATTGACTACAAGTTGTCTGTTCTCAGTCACAACTTTTTCTTGGATTCCTGCCCTTCCTATCTAACCGATCTTCTTTCTGTCTATTCACCCCTTCGACAGCTTCGCTCCTCTGCAGACACGCGTATTCTGTCCGTTCACAAGACACACACTAAAACATATGGTGAACGATCTTTCTCTTTCTGCGCCCCCAAACAATGGAATTCTTTGCCACTAAACATACGCAATATACCATCCACCCAGGCCTTCAAAACTGCACTCAAAACATATCTTTTTAAATTATACTACCCTGACTGATCCCCCTCCTCTGACCGATAAACGATCTTACTGGCTGCCGTCCATGGTTTGCCTTGTAAAAGTTATGTGGTGGGGTGGGTGAATATTCATAAATGTATTTTATTTTAATGTCATGATTATGTCTCTTTTGATAAAATTTTTATGTACTGCGCGGTGAGCCCAGCCCTAGGCTGGGGTACCGCGCTATATAAGACATCTTATTATTATTATTATTATTATATAAATGTGATTATGATTAAAGTAAAATAAAAAATTTTAATTAAAAAAACTCACCAAATGTTCACAAAACGCTCATTCCAAGTCACACAAAGAGAAATATATATGATCCAAAGTTTAACAAAAAATGTGTTTTTTTCTGAACTATATCCATATGTGCATATCATATAATAAAGATCACATAAAAAAAAGAACAAAATGAAACACCAGAGTACATTATCTTTTGTCACTGCCACACAAAAAATGTCCAAAAAAAATATATTTCCTCTGGAAACAATCTGTTGCTATTAGAAAATATTTGCACTGTATCCTTGTATGTGCTAACATTTATTATTGGTAAATGGAAAATTTACTATAAATTTGTCATATATTTTTATCTGGGTTTAGCTCCTGTAAGCCTGAAAACAATCCATATGGATGTGCGCATTTGACTCACATCCAGCACAAATGTATACCGGTAGTTTGCCCTGTGTTTGCACACTGTCCTTTTTAGAGCTAAGAGGCACATGTTTTGCTTCCATAAGTCTTGTTAGAGTGTTGATTTTAATTCTTTAGGCAGCATACTCATTTAGTGAGAGTAGAAGCTTGTGAATAATGTATGTGTCCAGCAAAGTAAAAAATACAGTCACGGTGATTTGACCAACTAGTCACAATTCCAATTACAAGCGCTAAATTTACACCCACATTTTTCAAAGGTAAAAATCTGAAACTGCACTCAGTTTTAGCTCTCAGATCAGCAGCTTTCCTTTTAGAATTTTCATTATTTATAGTAGGAATAGTATTAGCTCTTCTAGAAGGCACTTTAGCTAAGGGCGGGGCTAGTTGTTCATCAGCTGATGAATTATCAATTTCATTATTTTGTCACTAAAATGACTAATATTAGTACTAGGATTATAATTATACGATTCATCAGAATCAGCCTTTGCATCCAAAATCATAAAATCACTATCTGAATCGTCATAAGAGAAATATTTTCAACCTTTATTAGATCGATCACCAGATGGGTCAGGTCAAGATTTGATGTTTGTAAACAAAAATAAAATGGACAGTCAAAACAACCGCTTCAAACACTTCACATTCTATGTAAAAACTCATTGAAATAAAGAAAAACCAGTTAATCAAAACCTGAACCAATCAAAGATTTGATTAAAAGTTACTAAAAACCAATAGCTAAGAAAATAACTGAAATAAACAGGTTTTTGTACATCGATAATCCCATCAACAATCCGACCAAAACCTCTTTTGAAATCGACAATAGGAGCGTTGATCCGGAGAGAAAGAGTCAAGACATGCAAAATTATTCTAAAATTAAAAATTGCAATGTCTTTTTACTTTTAGTTTAAAATTATTACATAAACATTTCAAAAGATTTCAAGTTGTCTGCATTTGTATAACTTATCATAAAACTTTAAGCCTACCAAGCAAAACTTACTTTTCCCTCTCATGGTCATGAAAAACACTTTTGAAAATATGAATGCGACTCCTCATTTGCTTTTTTGATTCCTTTGCAGAGCATTCTTCAGATGACTAAATAAAATAAGTGGAAAAATAAAATTAGTTTTAAGATTCACTCATTATTCACAGCAAAGATTTGTTAGAAGATAAATTACTTTTGAAAGATCATGTTAGAGTTAATGTATGGCTATAATACGCAGAATGAGATTGATGAATTTCTTCTTAACCATCATTTTTTAAAATAAACAACCCCAAAAAAACTATGTTTTTACACCAAAATCCTTTATATGCCTTTTTTTTTTTGCATTTATGTAAATGTGCGGGATTTATCATTTATTAAGAAGCAGTTATGTAAATGGGTAAACTTCTGGCAAAAACATGTTTCATATTTCCTTCATTTTCCCATTCAAAAATACATTTTGAACTACATAATTAATCTCCACACCAAAATACGCAATCATTTAACAAATGATTAATATTCCTCTCCCCTTGAAAAACTGATTTTCGGGGGTTGGGGATGGGGCTGAAAACTTTGATAGAATGTGTAGTCATTGGCAACAAGTGTATGTGCCACGTTTCAGTTATAAAAAGCTAGCAAGTTTCAAATGTGAAACAAGTTTTGTTTTGCAAAACCAAATAATAAAACTTGATCACACTAACATGAGTTATTAATTCAAGAAACAAATAATCATTTTTTAAATCTAAAAAAAAAAAAGTCCCAGTAAGCATTATGATGTGAAAGCCAATATCTACATCCTCACTAGTTAATTAAATATTACTGTATTTTCTGCATAGGACAAAGCCGTTATATATAAAAATTTCAACTCAAATAATGATTACCGACACATACGCACCCCATATTTCAGGTGTATTTTGAGGGGAAAACAGTATCCTATACGCTGGCAAATATGATAAATTTCTGTCCTTTAATTTTTCCATTCAAACTAAACTATTTTAATGTTACTTAAGTATGCTTAATATAATATCTACTTACATTACTAAGAATACTAAGAAGAGTCTGAACTAGACCACTGTTATATAGTTCAAAGGAGGATATAGTGTGTTCATCTTTCAGAAGAACTACCAGCTCCTCTAAGGCACTACACATCTCCTGGCACCAAGATATTCCATCACTTGAAGGCTAACAATTATATTATGACAAAAATAGATTTGGTGAAAATGTCATTTTAATTGACATCCATATCAATTGTTTTTTCTCTTCTAGAAACATAAACATGGTATAAATATTAATTATTTAACATCACCAAGTTGGTCAGGGGTCATATCAAAGAACAGTTTTGATAGCTTGAGGGTCCCAACAACCTATTTCAAACATAAACATATTGCAAACCGCACGTCTTTTAAAAATAAATGATTGGTTTCAATCTAATGGTGTAGTAATTACACATCAGCTTAGCACTAAAAGCAGCTTTGAGACACAGTAGATAACATCACTACTGCTCTCAGCAATTTGAGGTAAAGAGTTACATGTGACCTTTTTTAACAAGTGGGAAAACAATGACCAAAATTAATCTGAAGGTCACATTTAACAACTTAGAGGTATGAGTGCAACCCACAAGTTTAAAAATACAAACAATAACATAATAAATTTTAATATAAAATCAAATATAAATTTACTTACTTTGATCTGACTAAGTTGACGTGCAAAAGCAGATTCCAGCTGCTGTACAATGCCATACAATTTTGACACAACTCCTCTAGGTTTAGCCTCAGCTGCTTTAAAATGCTCTTCATAGAGTTCCCGAGCAGTTGTGCGGACCTGTAAAGATGATGAAAAATTCATTAAGCTTAAAAGATTAAAAACGTGAAATTAGTTGAAGTTAATGAACATAAAAGAAATTAGGATTTACAGAACAAAAAAAAAAAAAAGTGTCATGGAAAAATATCAAACAACATCACCCAATAAATATGTACATAAAAATTAATTTTTATATAAAATATCCTACAAAATTTAAACCTTACCTTATCACGCATTGCATTCTTAGATTTGAGTTTACGGCTCTTTTTACCACCCCATCCAACAGCAAACTCTTGACCAAGTGTAGTTTCAGCAGTAAATGAATGCTTTGTGCCTCGATTAGATTCAAACACAAAGCCCATCAGGTCTTCTCTTAAGATGGTTGCCTAATAGCGAAAAAATTCTTAAGCCTTCAGTTAACTTTCAAGGAAATGTACTTTATGTAATTTTTAATTTATCTTTGATATTTGGCAAAATGAAATTATGCTACCTATAGATTATTATATGAATTAAAATTGGTATAATTTCTTCAGTATATAATTTTAAAAACATTTAATCAAAGAAGGACCTACAGCCCAATGTTACTGTATCAGAAAAATCGTATGCAAATTAATCTGGGATTCCTCCGAGCTATGCACAAATAACTGGGTGGATGGGACTCTTCGGCGGAGGATGGCTGCTTTTCTTGGGTAAGTAAAAAAGAAACTCAATCCCCAAAGTCTGAAGTCAACTTGGCATGGAATAAAAATCAACTGACTGCCCTATCCAAAACTTGCATTAATTTTTTTTTTAATTACTAGTTTGTGAATTTATTGTTTTTTAATATTTGGCCTCACCAACATACAAGATCTCTAAACTTTAAAACAAAGAATTCAGCCTTGTTAGAGAAAACTTTAATAAATCAAACCAACCTGTTGCCCATCAGTGTTCTGAATTTGTAGCTCTCCATCCTTCTTACAGGTAAGAGTCCAGTTTCCAACTACTAACCTAGTTGGACCAGCTTTTGAAAGAATTGGGTGACTAGATGTACCCACTTTAATTTGGCTACGAGCACGCTGAAGTTTGTCTAAAAATTCTCCTCTGTTTTCTGTTGATTAAGAAAGAAAAATTAATTCTTGGGTGGACTTTCCTTTTATAATAATTTATACTTTGATCTGATATGGACCCAGCTGGCTACTTCACCATATAAAAATTACCTGAACTATCAGATCCTCCTTCTGGACTGCCACTGGAGTACATGGTGGCTAATTTACCATCCAAGATAAACCTGAACCAACCATTGCTGCCATTACTAAGTTCTAAGGCAGTTCCCTCACTCCACAAGTACAGGCAGTCTCTTCCTCTAACAATGTACCAGTCCTTCCAGTGATAAGGTCTTCCAGACACTATGTCTGTTGCATCAGTCAGGCTGACCTCATCTTCATCCTGTTCAAACATGCATTTACATTAAAAATTGTATGACAATGGCAAAAAAGTTAAATTTTCTAAATTGGTTATTTGAGTCAGTACAATTACTTTTGTGTGATATAGATCAGGGATATCTAAGGGGCATTATATCTTTATGGATCCAGGATGTACCCAGCAGTGAAAAATCTAGCCTGAGAATGCAATAAGCTAAGGCATCTATTCTCATAGATACAAAAAATATGTTCTAAAAAGGCTTATTGACATTCTCACAGATGAGATCTGTATAATTTTAACCAAATGAAAAGATTATTTTCATTTGTAAAGAAATAAGAAGTCAATGGTAAAAGCTTGATTGACAAAACAATAAACTTGTCCAATTTGCCTTCAATTAATGTGCTTCTTCTTAATTTACAACTTGATCTCATCGATCCCCACATTACTACTCACACCCTTGAATCTTTTTCCAAATGAATTGACCTCATCCTTTTCCAACCAGTGAGAATGGGTGAAAACTTGCTTTAAGATCAAATAATTTTTTTTAAGCATGCATTATTAAATTAAAGACCTTCTCTTCTTTTGCTTTAGCTCCTTCCTCTTCCTGTAATGGTGGTCCAGCAAGAGCCAGCACCCTTGAAAACAAACCAAGACGAGCAAAATGCTCCAGGAAAACATCTTGGCACTTCAGAATAAGATCTTGCATGATTTGCAGAACTATCATGTGACCATCATCATCCTCCTGAGAAAGTAGGATTGTTTACATAAAAGCATGATAATGCATGTTTTATCAAAATGATTATTTTACTTTTTTTTAAATACAAATTTAACACTCAAAATAATTTTTATTTTCAATCTTCCAAACTAACCTCTGCATCCAAGACTATTGAAAGCACTTCAGTGAGTGAGGAGGCAAAGTTAGGGGAGGGAAACTCAGGTTCTGTCATTTCAGCAAGAAGTTCTGACTCCACATAGTGCAACATCTTCCTGATTAATGACAGACTGGCTTTCCTATGAAGAATATGAGAGTGATAATAATAAATGAAATAACGCAATATTTTTCTTAAAATTTTGCCATCAAATTTTGAAGCTCTTTTAAGTTTTATCCAAAATTAAAGACATACCAAATATAGCAGAAATTATTTGTGCGTATTTCCTCACTATAATCAAAATATTCCAGAACAGAGAGTTTTTTTAAATACTGGTACCAAATTTTTTATCATGAACATTTTTTTTTAAATTTAAATATGTATCTGTGTTTTCATACCTGACAGAAGATAACATGGTTACATGGAAAACCTCTGTAAACACAGGAAGCAGGTGTCGAACATAGATAGGTGCTACTTCAGGATCACCTTTTGTCTCACTGGACTCTCCCTTTTCAATATCTTGAGTATCTTCTTTCTTTTCCCTTTCTGTTGTCTCCATGGGAGCGGGAGCAGATGTGGGTACTCCTGAGGAGGAGGGTCCAGGGACTGATGCTAACATTGGTGGGTCTCTGCTCACTGGGACCATGTACTCTCCTAGATGGAATAAAGGTTTCAAACAATAATACATCAAGTGGTTATATTTTAAATTGGACAAGTAAAGAGATTAAAATTCTGTAATCAACAAGAATATTATTTTAATATGTAAAATTTAATTAGATCTTAAAAACCCCAAAACAATCCAGTGCAATGACACAAAAAATTCAAAACCTGTGAGGTCTTTCGAAATAAATCTCAAAAAAAAAAAAAAAAAAAAACATGAAATTATAGTTAGTATACTTTCTCTACTGCTTTAAGCGACAAATAATTTTTTTAAAATTTCCAACTACCATTGCTGAGCTCTAAAAATGGTACAATAAAAAAATTCAAAACCTTTGAGGTCTTTCAAAAAAAATCTAAAAAAAAAAAAAAAAAAAAAACATGAAATTATAGTTAGTATACTTTCTCTACTGCTTTAAGCGACAAATAATTTTTTTAAAATTTCCAACTACCATTGCTGAGCTCTAAAAATGGTACAATGATATTAAATGATTAAAATTTAATTACCTGGGGATTGCAGGATTGCAATGACTTCTCTATGTCCTTCATCACCACGCTCACGAGCTTTGTCTAATGGCGTCTTGGCGTCTTCATCTCTTAAGTCAGGATTGGCACCATAGCGGAGCAGAGTCTGCACAAAAACAGGAACAGATTATTTTCTATGTAAACATAAATAAATGATTTTTATTTTTTTGTCAAGTAAAATCATTTTATGAATATAAATTATTATTTAGTTTACTTTAACAATCTGTGGACGGCCAAAGCAGGCAGCATAGTGAAGAGAAGATGATCTGAGTCCTCTGTTAACATCTGCACCTCGTTCACATAAAAATTCAACCTACAAGATAAAAGAATTTAAAAAATTATTTATAACTTGGCGTGTAAATTTGTTTTTTTTAACTTGAAACATTTCTTATACAGGCTGAAATAATTATATTATAAGAAAATTGTGCATTTGGATTAAAAAAATTTAAGGTCCTACCATTTCCTGAGTACCAAAGGCAGAGGCCCAGTTAAGTAGAGTTTGTCCAACATCATCCATGAAGTTAACTTCAAATCCTAAGGCCAGAAAAACAAAAAATATTAATTTACAAATTATTGCCAGCAATGCTATAGCACTTAGCTAGCTTGCCTACTTATTATAAAATGAAATAGTAATAAAAAAATTGTTGTTATTGAAGTAAGCCTAAAGTTGCTTAAATTATTCTCAAAACATTGGTAACCATATACCATTGTCTACAGCATCTATTAGTGCATCTGTATCTTTGCTGCGTATGCAATCTATAAGCTGTCTGTGTGATCGGTCACTGGAACTGTCAGTTCTGCGTAGTCCTGGAAGTCTACTGGTAATCGTCGCCACTCCAGACTTGGGGAGTGCTTGACGACCTTCAAATAAGAGGACAAGGAGAAGGTCCACAAATCTCATTGTGTCAAGACAGCACCTACAAGGAAAGAAAGGAAAAAAGGGGCTTAATATGTGGAACACCCAATAATTGTATACATAAAACTTTTAATTAAAAGGATGCCAAGTAAATAGATATGAAAAACTTAGAAATTTATATAAAATTGAGCAACTGGGTCGATTTCTTTTTTAACGTGTTATCAGTTGAGATTAAACATTATCATATTTCTTCAAGAGGGAAAAAATGTGTACAGAAATAAAATAAAATGACCAACCTTTCATCTCCACGAAGTCCACTTTCTATGGCCTCTGGCAATCTGGAGCGCAACAAGGCATGTGTAATCCCTGGAGAGCCACGGCACAGTGTTGATAACAAACTGATAACTGTTGACACACTGGGATTTGTTTTCCCTTCTCCAGTAATTGCATTTTTTCCTGGAGTGGATGTAGTTGATTGATTGTGAATGCCTTCACCGACACGTTGGAGCCTGGATAGAAGATCTTGTATAAGTCCATGACGTGCTAGCGGAGCAGGATCCAGTGACCTTCTTGTGTAGCGATCTGCTAGGGAGGCAAAGCAACGCAAAGCCCCGTCTGCAACCTTAAATAAAGAAGCGTAGCAGGAATATTAATTACCCCAATCTTAATTTCTGTAGCCATTTCAAAGTAACCTTACAGTACGAAGATTTATTTCAGTTTATATTATGTGAATGTGCATTGTTATCCAATTAGTAGCATTTGCAGGAATCTCTTATGCTGTCAATTTGCATTCCATATGGGTAAATGCTATAAAATATTTAATTTTCATTAAAAATGTGTCTCATTCAGTTATAAAAAAAATTAACATTTCACAAATTACCACACAAAAAGTAATAAATAAATAGTAGAATATTTACAAAAGAATCATCGTGGTCAAGCAGTGTTGACAAGGATTCTATGCAAGTCTCCAGTGATGCATCCTGAGGTTCCATTTTGCCACATAGTCTTGACACAACAGTCATAGAGGAGTGAAGTGTATCTTTATGGACCTGACAAATTAAAAATTTAAATAAATTATAAAAACAGAAATGCAACACCCAGTACCCTTTAAAAATCTTATTTGAAGCTTATCTACATGAATCAATTAACTAAGTATTGTCTTATATTGGTCTATTATTATGTTACTATTTATTCTTTACAAACAGCTCTGGGAATTCCCATCATACGTAATGACAAAAGAATAGTTAATGACACTTACATGGAACTTAATTGTACAATGCAATATACCCACAAGGGTTGATATTGGGATTTTTCTCTCATTTAGAAAAGAAACCCATTAAAAACAGCTGTCAAATACATATGTAAGTTTTGGAGTTTCTCCATTTTATAAAAAGAATGTAGTATAACACAGAGAAAGAAAATACCTGTGAGCCATGTTCTCTAATAAATGTCAACACACAGTTGAGACCGCCGGCTTCAAAAACTGCCCCAGATTCCCTTGTGCATATAAGTTCCAGAACCTATATGGAATTTTAACAAATTGTAAAAAGATAACATTTTACAAGCACTTACTTTATGATGGATTTACTTTTATATTGAACCACTGTTTAATAGCCATATATAAAACAACTCTTCTTTAAATATCATATGTATACACCCAGCATTCTAGCAAGAACATATAGTTTTGATTCACATTATAAATATTAAACTTGAGCTTGAGAAAATGTATATGTTACGGCCTGTCCAGCGCCTTATAATAGCCAAATTCTGAGGTGACCCCGACTTAAATAAATGCTGAAAAAATGGGTGTTAAAAGAGTCAACGACCCAATTTTGTGAGGCTAAAGTGATCATATAGTTCGCTGTTGTTGACTGCTTTAACCAAGTGACATGTAACATCTTCCCTCAATCAATCCATTATAGAGGAGATACATTCCAAAATATTCAAAACCTCCTTAGGGCAATTATAATTTAGGAGATTAAAACCAAAATAGGAATATAAAAACATTTAAGCCATCCCACAATCCCATAGGTGAACTAAAATCAAAATTCTTTATAGTTTCTTTAGCTGGCAAAATGTAAACATTGGTATGCATATATATGTAAAGATATGTGAGGGGTAAGAAATTGGTTATGAAGTTATTTTGTTCTTCTTCAATTTAATATGCATAATAATATATATTTGAGAAATCAACATGTATGAATGTAATGAGACTGGTATTTGAGCACACTGAATGTTTTATTAACACTACTCACTTTGATGCACTGCTCAGCCAAGTCTTTGCTTGTTCGAGATGACATCTCAGCAACTACAAGCCGGTTGCAGAGGGCCTTTATTGCCCCTTCAACAGCAACAATTCTTCTGGTGCACTCAGCCGAAACATCAAGGTAGTAAGTAATAGCACGGGCGGTCACTTCTAATACATTGTCTGGGGCACATTCATCAAGAAAAATACGGCACAGTGCAGGTAAAAATGTTCTTGGCGGACAACTGCAAAAATTTTAATTAAGACTTGTATTAACAGGTTTTAAATTAATATAATTACAAATCTAATAAATAGACAAAGCCAATAAAAAGGGAAAAGGGTATTTTTAAGGATCAAATATTGATTCCAAGCAAATATTTGTATTCTTCTTTCTATGTTTAGGTACTTAAGATAGTCTCAAAAACTGAAAATTAATGCCCTGAAAACAGTTGAAACCTTGTACAGAGGCTTTCCAAGCATATTCAACGCCATTATTAATGTAATAAGTGAAATGTTTATCTTCAAAGTTCTACAATTTTCTTTGTAATACAAAAAAAAAGTAGGAAGCTAATTTTTGTTTTGGAGCTTGAAAATATGTTTTTGAGAGCTGAAAACTACTCTGACACTAGCTCAAGGGTAAACAGGTCTGGTAATTGTTAACTTAGAATTAGGAAAAACTTTAAGTCCCAAGTATGTGATTCTGTGCCTGTGATGTAATTATTTATCGGGCTGAACCAAACAGCTGCACTGGCGAAAAACAAATTGGGCCTTGGGTGGGAGACATGACAGTTTTAACATGCCTATAGCAGTGCTTGCTAAGCATATATTTTTTTTAGGCTGAGGCTATTGGTAGTAAACTATAAAAGTGATAGTGATAGATTGATTAGTGCAGTATTGACTAAGTCTAATGATATTGGTAGTCACAATTTACTTTTAATTACATCCCTGAAATCACTCTAAAGTATGTAGGCCTATGTTGGATTTTTTTTTATTGCACAGCCTTCAAAACTGCACTCAAAACACATCTTTTTAAACTCTACGATCCTAACTGATTCCCAACTCTGACCGAAAAACGATGCTGCTGGGTGTCGAACATTGCTTTACAATACATGTGAATAGTTTTAAATATACATTTGTTTTGCTTTATTTAATTAGTGTATGTTAATTAAATTTTTTAAGTTCATTATTTTGTTGGTTAAATTGTATGTACAGCTTGGTGGTACCACGCCCACGCTATATAAAACCACTTATAATAATGATAATAATTACTTTGGCCTTGGCAAAGAAGAAGCTGGGTAACATTTTTTCAGACTATGATCCCCTCTCCCCAGTATCATACCTGATCTATGTTAGGTCTATATTATAAATTATAATTATATAGCAATATAGCCAAATCTGAGCACGAGGAAGGGTACAGCAGACAGTGTTAAAAGAGTACTGTAGACTTTATAACTAGTGCCAAGGTGTTGACACTAGTATGAATTCGTAATAAATGAACGAGGCAATAATTCGCCAGCAGAATTGATAGTGGGTTTTTAAAGCTCTGATTTCGGTTTGATTTCATTGGTTGGACTACCAATAGCTCTCTAGAACCTATTGGTAGTTTACTACAAATAGTAAACTACCAATAGACACTTTCTTTTTTTACTCCAAGTCCCGCTGATCACCTAAAATGTTTTTCATGCTCCCCCCCCCCCCCCCCCCCAATAAGTGGGAAGAAAAAATAGGTGTCATGTTGCCATAAAGAAGATTGAATTTCAATTTTGTAAGTCTTAAGATTTATAATTGTAGGATGAAACGTACAATTTGTATTTTAATATATTAAAAACAATAAAGGTAGTTAACTTTATTTTTAAATTATGTTTACACCCCCACCCCTATTTTTAAAAAAACAAATACATTTCCTATCTGTATCTCCCACTCGCACATATTATATATTTGAACACCAAACCCCTTTTTCCCCTGTCTCTGCAGGCATCCTATGTGGCTGGCAAAAAATGAAATAATTGTTTTTCAGTGACAAGCTAATGTTATTCAAGACATGCATTTTTACACATATAGTACATAGATTTAGGTAATTTCATGAAAATTTCAAAACATTTTTAAAAATATAAAAATACTACAGCTGTATAGAGCCTGGAGAGTAGATTACAAAAACACCAAGATCAACTTTCTAGCTCAAGTGGTTCAAAAGTTATGAATTTTTTTGTAGGGACCTCAAAACCACTTTTTCACTATGGGATTTTCCTCTACATTTTGTGACCCACATTGTGCCTTTTTTAAAACGACTATAACTTTATTATAAAAAGAGACAAAAATATAATATTTACAGGGAACATAGTTAAATAAGAGTACTTCTAAATAAATTCACAAAATATAAGTTAGTTTTTGTTAAAATTCAGCAAAAATTAAAACAAAATCTTTATAAATTTCGTATTAAAAATATATAAAATATGCTGACTCGTCACTTATTTGTAATTAATTAATTAATTAATTTAAAAAAAAATTTTTTTTTTTTTATTTCCTCAAAATAATAATAATAATAATATTCTTTGGATATTAATTTCAAATTTTCAGCGTAATTGTTTAACATTTCTAAGTATAAACAAATAAATAAAGGATTATTTGTTTCAATTAGTTAAAATAGACGGTTTCACTTTTTATTTTACCATTTTCTATTTATGTATTTTAGTCCCATATCATAAGAATGTCAGAGTATGACAAAAAAATTAGTATTTCATCTCTTTTAGGTTAGTAATCTTTTTTCAACAATCAACAAGCATTTTTAGAATCAACTTCGGTGGTTGATAGAAATTAAAATAAGTTCTGGTCATTTGCTTGAGGTAAGTATAAGTTTGTATGATTGTTCTTTAGTTGTATCTTAATTATCGTGCCAGAAAGCGTGCGTTTTTTCTTTGAGAATATTGAGGATTATTTAATAATTCTCTTGTGGAATATTATGAAATGTGATTAAATATAGGATATTTCAAAACCAAAGGTAAGTGAATATTTTAACAATTTTTACTTAGTTTATGCCTTAAGCCTTAAGCATCATAATATTCATTTAAATATAATTACATAGCCTAAAATACAGATCTAATTACATAAAATTTATTATATAGTTATAACCGGCCCTACAAATAATAAATTGGGTTGGGTCAAAGACTATACTATAATATAGTATATTTTGTATAAGCTATGTCTATACTAGGCCTATAGTTATAGTATTATCAAGTATCCCATGGCAGCTATCGATAATTGGTAACATGCAGTGACACAGGGTGGCCATGATGACAAATTACATAGCCAAAAAAGTGACTCCTTAGCCTTAGACTTTAGTTTTTGAAGCCTGCTTATGGTCTACACTCATGAATTTTGGATATGTTATAAATTACCTTATTTTATAAACTAGATTATATTTTATTATAATAAATGAGAGCTTTTGAGAAAAAAAAGTTTTTGATCAGTGAAGTTCACCTATTTTCAACTTCAAATTTCAAAGCTTTAACTTTAACCTCAAAAAAAAAAATCAAATGAATTCTCAATAGAACAAGCAAGATGTCGGCTTTAAGTAATTGGCGGATGTATAATTTATTATTATTAATAATCGACTATGAAAGATGAAACAACAATACCCTCTGTAAATTAAAAAGTGGAGGTCGCCATTTTGACAATGAAATTACGATTGCCGTTTTTCTGGAATTTCCGGGTCCATATGGAAGGACCTAATAGATTTCAACTCTACAACAATGCCTGCCTTATTTCTTTGGATTGAATTAGGCATTTCTAGGCCAAAGTAAAATAAGTTTTTTAACTCTTTCCTTCAATGTTTGACTTTATTATTAAAATACGCCCACTCAGTTCCCCTAGATACTATATTAAATTATTTTGATTTAATTAATCATGAAGCATTGCCTTAGGCTTAACTTGACTTTAAACTAATTAGTCTTTTAATTTAGAAACTATTCAGGATAGTTAGGTTAATAAGTTAGTTTACTTAGTTAACTTAAACTTTCTCTTAAATCTCTTCCTTAATGCCTTATCCTTATGATTATGATGTCTACCTTTTTTTTTTTAATTTACTCTCTAGCTTTATCCCATAATGGCGAAATGAATAGGTAGAATTAGATACATACCTTTCAAAACATCTGTCCACATTGTCTGACATAAGAAGAAGCATGCATAATTGCTCTAACGCAATTAGTTGCATGTCTCTTTCATCTCCTTGGCCCATTTGGAGCCATTCCAAAAGAGTCTCTGGGTCAACTTCCGCCATTTTCTTTGTTTTGATTATATTTTCCTTTGTTGTAAAGGCTTAAACTTAAAAAGGTTGAAGGGTGCTTGGGGAATAACTTGGGAGTTTTAAGCTAGTGTAAAAAAATTTTCCATCAAAGACAAAGTTGAAGGGAAGGTGTTAAAATCTGTTCGCAGTATTGAGCATCACTATCGGGTGTTCTAAAAATAAACTCTGATTAATTTACAGCAATATACTACGTTCTACTGACTAAGTTGGGATGCAGCGGAACTTTCGCTAATAACCTGTTCAATTGCTTATTCCGTCACTACCTGTTTGTCTGCTACTGAACTCATACTTTATTCACAATAATCACAGGTCCAAAGAATAAAAATAAAATTATTGTTTTTATGGCCTCTATGAATCCCAATTAGCTCCTAGGACCTAGGAAAGGCGATGTCACTTAAATGTGTCACATGTTGTAGTACGTGAGAAAGATATCAATCCATAAAAACTAAACAGTAAACATGATTAGCAGCCCTATTCTAGGGCTTTTACGTCTATGTTGTCTGTCATTCCAGTTCTGCAGCGCCTCGTTCTCGAATGGCCTTTCATTTGTTACCGATTACATCCGGTTTATAGTCAAGGTTATTAAAAACAGAATAAGGGAAAGAAATCTTACTCATCTCAGGGGTTAAGGGACATGTTTTTATAATTTAGGACGTATTATACAATACAACCTATATCATGATGTTAATCATGCACAGAGCGGTTTGTTTTTTTTTTAATTAAAAGCGGGCGGGATTTTTTCTATGAAATGTCATTTTCAGGCTTTACTCCTTCATTTCACGATTCGATCGAAATCGTTGAGTCGTTGAGTTTTTTTAGTGAGATCTTAATGACTAATGACTTGACTAAATGACTAAGAAATTAAATTGTACTTATAAATTATAGCTCCATTTTGCAATCAACATGCAATTTATTTTAGTATCCTAAACTACTACGATAAGTATATTAAAATTACAGGTGGACATGCTGTTACATTTTGTATGTTTTTTTTTTGTTTTTTTGTTGTTTTCTTTATTAAATTCCTACATTGTGTGTGGGAAGGGGTGAATTTTTAATCCACTGCGACAAAAATTGTTGCTATTGTTCTAAACATTTACCACCCCCCCCCCCTCGTTTTGCTAGACAAAATACAAATGTTATTTTCCAATGAAAATAATACAGTAGAAGTAATAAAACCATAATGTGAAGAAAAAAAAAGTCGAAATGCCGTAAAGCTTTTGTGTTTTTGTTGTTTGTTTTTTTTTCAACTTTGTAGTCTTGACTCAAAATGCCAAGATCATTATTTCTTCTAATTTAAATGTTTAGTGCAGGGCTATATTAGCCTACCCCGTTTGCAAATGTAGCTATTTTCCGCCAGGTGTTTTTAATTTTTACATTCCCTCTAGAAGTTATCTTCAAAAGTTTTAACTCTTGCATTTTGGCCGAGCCGTGCAGGGGAGTTTTTGGATCACGAGCAATTAGGGGCCACCAATATAGTTCTTACGCAAAAAAGTCGAAATTTCCACCCACACTACCCCCCCCCCCCGACCCACTGTTTCACGCCGACTTTTTTTGGACAACCTCCCCTTAAGTGTACGTACAATTAGCCAAAATACGAAAATTAATTTCATGTTTGAGACCGATTATAGAAAATATTTTAATCTTTATAGAATCTTCATTCAGAATCTAGATCATACATGAAAATCAGCTCCATCAATCAGAAAATTGCCTTTTTGAGTGTCTCCAATCAGGTCAGATGCTTATAGTTATCGTTATGAAAACTGTACCTGCATGCCGCCACATCAGAGTGAAAAAAATGAGATATGGATGAGGAAAAACATTACTGGTAGGTAGTTGCTTATCAATGGGCGAGAAAAAAAACAAAACCCATGTGCAGGGTTTCTTTCAGCTATATCTCGGGGGGNNNGGGGGGGGGGGCACTGCCCCGGGGAAAGACAAGTGCCCCCGGAGCAAAAATATGTCCAACAATGAATCAACTGGCACTGCCCCCCCCCCCACGAACAATCTGAAGTGCCCCCCCCCCCATCTGAAGGAAAATTTCTGAAAATCACTTCCCGTATGGGCCCCCGTGCTGGCAGGACCCCGTGTGGGCCCCCGTGCTGGCAGGACCCCGTGTGATTTACTTTGTTGACTCCGCACGCCTCTACTTACAGGGTGGGCCAATAAAAATGAGAACATTTCGAAGCGTAATATTTTACGAGATGTTCTCACTTTTTTTGGCCCACCCTGTATAAGTAGGCCTATAATGCAAATTTAATTTTGTTAGTACATATTCCATGTAGAAAAGCTGTTATCTTTTCAAATACATATCATGAAGTAGTGAATCAACTGACTTGCTTGGCTAGAAACTCTTAACCAATCATCTTAGTTCTTCTAACCTACCCCGCCCCCCTTTTCACTCATTTTCCTCTCCCCAGATAGTTGGTTTTACGTATAATTCCTCACCATTTAACTCCACTCTTTACCATTTTTTACAGACGAAGCCATTTGAATCCCGCTCATACAACACACCTATGATGGCACTACGCTTTCTCTCTCTCTGAACCACTATTCTTCCCCCCCCCCCCCCCCCCCCCCCCCCCCCCCGCCCATGCCTAATCATATAATGTCCTATTTAAGGCTATTTAACACATATTTTGCTGCCTCCCCAAATAAATTCCTTTATTTCCACCCCTCCCTTTTTAACCATCCACACACTTTCCTCCCTCTATTTAGGCCTACTCTGCAGAATAATTCCACTTCCTATCCTAAACTGCCCTTCAACCCGACACCCCCTCCACCTCCCCTTTGCCCGCAATCTCGCTTCGCGTTTTTCGTGAGTGAGGGTGGCAGATTCAATGACTTTTCTGAGCGTCACAAACTCTAGCTACGCTACTGCTTACCCATACATAGATTTAAAATTTACCTTCGTTGACTTCAGCACTAAAGGGAATCATTCATTTTAAAGTTATTATTTAAATTATTTCTTGATTTAGTTTAGTCTTATCCCCCCCCCCCGCGCAATTATTTCCAAATTAATGTCCGTCTTCCGCATAGTTTGACGTCATTTCAAAGCAGTTGCGTCAATAAGGGGTGTGAAGATGCGTACCACCCCGGTTAACATAGGAGCCAGAATGATCAATTCATTGATCGTGGGCCCTTAAAATAAAGAAGAAGAAGAAGAAGAACATCCTCACAGGGGAGGGGGGGTGAAACCCTCACAAAGAGTTACACCAAACGGTAAAATGCTAATTTGATAGAGTTTGCTCAAGTCGAATTCATAAGAGAGTTAAATACCATAAAATCGTGCCGTTTTAGAGCATGTCACGGGAAAAGGATGCTACCAGAGCGCGCTGCCACCATAACAGTGTGCCAATAAATCAGGGTTCCACCACAGAAGGCTGCATTACCAGATCATTGTGTACACCAGACAGAGCGGGGTGCCATCAGAGTATGCTGCAAACAGAACTGGGCGCATTTTTTTGGAGCATTACCGCACAAGAGAAGGATGCCCCTAAATTAGGGCATCAGCATGGCAGAGCCTTTACACCCGGAGGGGATTTCGGATGAAGTATTGAGGAGGTGAAGAAAAAGCCCGGGGGCAATCAACAGTCAGACACAGATCCATTAAGAGAGTAGCAGATGTGTTTGAGGCTGTTCAAGCTAAGAGTCGGCTCTCTTGGCGACCGAAGAAGAGCTACCGGTGTCCATTCACTTTATGATGAGTTATCTAAAAGTGAACTTTGAAATACACCATGGCTGCGAAGGCAGCTGTGAACAATGATCTTTTTAAATTATTCATAGCCTTAAAATTCATTGCTGAATGAGACTTCCTTAGCAGGGCCGTGCTGAGGAAAAGTGGCGCCCGAGGCGAAGCCTGAAAATAGAGCTCACCACTATATAGAAAAAAATGACACCGGGGGCAGGGTTTCTTTCAGATAGATCTCGGGGGGGGGGGGGGCAATGCCGCTACCCCATGAAAAAAAAACAACAGTGGGCAAAAAAGCCCACCCCTTAATAAAAAGAAAAAAG